TAGGCGGCGGCGATTGCGAATCGCGCGGTGGCAGCGGAGTCATGGAACCAACGGCGGGGGTGGTTGGCGGCCGGATATAGCGTGGGGCGACGACAGCATGGTGCGATGGGTGGCTGGGCGGGCGGCAGCAGTTCGGCGGGTGGGTGGGCGGGTGGCAGCAGTTCGGCGGGTAGCGGGAGGAAGAAGACGCACGGCATAGGGAAAAGAACAGCGGTTGGTGCGTGACCAACCGTTGTACATCACCTGGAGGTGGAGATGCAAATTTGCATCTCCAGGTTGTATTTTACATCATTTGGGCCGGATGATGTAATTTTTTTTACATCTACATCATATGTTGGAGGTGGCTTTTTAAGCCTTGAAGAAGTAAAATGTAGTTATTTTTTCATCTACATCTTCTATTTAAGATGCTCTAAAGGCACAAGGCACGATCTTACTGGTATAATACACAGACATAGCACTTTTGTCTGGTGAGGTATCCTCCTGGCCTGTTTATATATTAGCTCATCAACATAAGATAATCTAATGTTTTCTATTTAATTAAGCATTAATTGTAGCATTAAGTGTTGCATGCAGTAAATGGAGCTGTTATTTACCCACTATGTAGCATGTGGTGCAGTGGTAAGGGACGTTGCAAGAGTGCTGCATATCGTACCGTTAGTGTCCAGTGGAAAAAAAGGTATATACTGAAAAATGAGCCTAGAAATACCCTCTACAACCCACAAGCCTCCCTCAAAAAAATACAACCCTCGAGCCACCAGAGGCTAGGAAATCATGGGAGCTTAGTAACTAGAATATATGCGAGTCAAAAGGTGTTGCGCCACCTCCACTTAGGCCCATGAGCCTTATACGACCTAGGGTTAGTTTTTGGCTGCCTTGGGACATCGTCCAACCCCTTAGCCGCCACCCCTTAATCCTATATCACTTAATCCTTTTTAGGGGGGGGGGTCTAATTCTATATAAGTAGATCAATCTCCTAGCTCTTTCTTTGAGTAGTTAAAAGTTGGTCATTGCAACTTCGCGTATCTTGTTTGCGTCCAACAACAAGCCAATGAAGGAAATATGCCCTAGAGGCAATAATAAAGTTGTTATTTTATATTTTCTTATATCATGATAAATGTTTATTATTCATGCTAGAATTGTATTAACCGGAAACTTGATACATGTGTGGATACATAGACAAAACATCGTGTCCCTAGTAAGCCTCTACTAAGACTAGCTCATTAAGTAAAGATGGTTAAGTTTCCTAACCATAGACATGTGTTGTCATTTGATGAACGGGATCACATCATTAGGAGAATAATGTGATGGACAAGACCCATCCGTTAGCTTAGCATGTTGATCGTTTAGTTTTATCGCTATTGCTTTCTTCATGTCAAATACATATTCCTTCGATTATGAGATTATGCAACTCCCGGATACCGGAGGAATGCCTTGTGTGCTATCAAATGTCACAGGGTAACTGGGTGATTATAAAGATGCTCTACAGGTATCTCCGAAGGTGTTTGTTGGGTTGACATAGATCAAAATTAGGATTTGTCACCCCGAGTATCGGAGAGGTATCTCTGGGACCTCTCGGTAATACACAACATAAGAAGCCTTGCAAGAAATGTAACTAATGAGTTAGTTGCGGGATGATGTATTGCGGAACGAGTAAAGAGACTTGCCAGTAACGAGATTGAACTAGGTATGAAGATACCGACGATCGAATCTCGGGCAAGTAACATACCGATGACAAAGGGAATAACATATGTTGTCATAAGGTTTGACCGATAAAGATCTTCATAGAATATGTAGGAGCCAATATGGGCATCCAGGTTCCGCTATTGGTTATTGACCAGAGAGGTGTCTCGGTCATGTCTACATAGTTCTCGAACCCGTAGGGTCCGCACGCTTAACGTTCGTTGACGATATAGTATTATATGAGTTATGTATGTTGGTGACCAAATGTTGTTCGGAGTCCCGTATGTGAACACAGACATGACGAGGAGCTCCGGAATGGTTCGAAGGTAAAGATTGATATATGGGATAATGATGTTTTGTCTCTGAAAGGGTTCCGGAATTCACCGGAAGGGATTTCGGATGTTTCCCGAAATGTTTGGGTACGAGAACACTTTATTTGGACCAAAGGGGAAAGCCCACGAGGCTTTTGGAAAGTGTAGAAGGGAGTGAAGGTGTGCGACTACATCAAACATGTTGTCAAACGCTTCCGCTTTCGGTCTACGAGGGTACATAGACACACTCTCCCCCTCTCGTTGCTATGCATCTCCTAGATAGATCTTGCGTGAGCGT